TACAAAAGATTCTGAAATTAATTAATTCAAATATTTGGTTTATACTTGTTGGAGACTATATTGGGATTGACTTTTTATATAGAAAAAAAATATTATTTAATTAGGTTCGGTTTCATTATTAAGTTCGCTTTCAGATTCGCTAAGTTCGGTTTTGGGCTGACGCTTGCGAGCACGGATCTGCTGTCTATTCTTATCGTCGTAGCTCTTTTGGTATGACAAGCGTTCTCCACGTGTGCGCTGATAGTAGCGCTTCTGCGCCGCCTTGATCCGCTCTTTGTTTGCGAGGTATTGTTCAGGTGAGTACGCCATGGTTAGTATATTAATAACTTTATATTTATCAGGATAAAAAAAACTTAATGAAGCATGTCAAAGCTATTATTAACTGAAATAACTCAACGTGGGAATAGATCGAGTGACCTGTCTAGCCACAGCTCGCGCCATGTCAAAGTCGGGGCCCAAGCAGCTGGCGATGTCATAGTATCGTTCGATACTCTCACAAATCCCGCCACTTCCACCAGCCTCGCTGATTGACGGCAGCACCCGGGATAGCTTCTGACGCTTCACAGGGTCTTGGAGCACTGAGGTCGTAATATCTGTAGTAGCATTAGGACTCAGCAGCTGCCTTATCAATTCGAATGCTTCACCTGGATTCGTAATGGTCACTCTGTTCACGACAGTGATATTGTTTTCCTTTCCGGCAACCCAGAAGAACCGCCAATCGTCGTTAAAGTCAGTAAGCAGGGCGAACACTTGGTCGGTAGTCATCAGTTCCAGAGCAATAAGCTCTGACATCGCCTGGAAGACAGAACGTCTTTCAACCGTTTTCTTCACTTCAATCAGCATCCTCACTTCAGGCAAGTCGTGGACATAATCCGCACTCTCCATGACGATATCACTAAGTATAAGCAGATCAGTGCGACCCCGGAGCTCAATGTTGGAACCCTCGACAGCAACTCGGAGAATATCTGTCGTATTTTCCACAGCGAACACGCAAAGCTTCATCGCCCGGAGATCCTCGCCAATATTGTCCTCAACATACTTGCGATATTCATTTTTCTGCTTATCCTCGATGTGATTCATGTCCCACGTGAACCCCTCGACTTCTTCGCGCCACCTTGCATTTTTTTTACGCAGAGGCACCTCCTTTATCTTGAAGGCGTCCAGAAGTTCCTCGTACTCGGTTGAGCCCATCTTCGAGTGGACATATGTCTTGCGCTTGGTTAGCACAGTTTGCGCGTGAATTTCGTGAACCTCTTGGATCACTTGATCCATCCCGGAAACCTCGCTCGCTGAACCAACTGCCCCCTC